CCAACAGACCTCACTACCTCTGAGGATGCTTGCCATAGATGCAGGCGAAACGTCAGGAGAGAATGCCTCTAGACCATGGCCATATAGCCCGAAAAAACCTACAACAATCCAGTGATTCCGGCCATGAAAGCCTTCGACAATACATTTAAAGATGGCTCTCATGTCCCTTCTTGGTCTTCTCTTCTCCAAGCAGAACCTACCCAGATCCCTAAGTTGCTCCTCAGATACATCCATAGTTTCCGGCCTTTGACCACTTTGGTTACCATTCTTTGGACACATTTGAGCTTGTTCGCAATGGATTTGTGCCAAGCACTACACTTGCAAGAGTTAATTTTTTGACATTCTTTTTGTATTGTTATAAGAATTCGAATTTCACAAAGCTGCCAGACTGCCAAGAAGGCTCAAGTGGCATTCTTTCTATATATCTTGTGATAAGTCAGATAAATACCAATGGTTTTCAACAAGGAATTCAAGCATCTTTCTCTTTCCTGATTTTTAGCCAGTTATCATGCCATTTATGATAAATCTAAAAGCAGATGCATTCTTTCCCCCATTACCAGGCTAGACAGGGATAAGCCAGCATCTGTAAGTCAGTGATAAAAAAAATACCAGGACACATGTCATTTGGAAAAGAATTAGGGAATCATCATCTGGAAAAGAGTCCAGCGTAAAACCCCTTCAAATGCTTGGCACTCTTGTGCATTTCCCAGCTATCCGTATGTATCTTTCACAGGTGAAATTGCTATAAGGATAATCTTTAAAGGCATTATATGGCTCTTTTCCATCGAACTCAAGCCAGTAGGTATGGCTCTGTCTTCTTATTTTATGCCAACAAATGGAGACTATCCCATGCAGTATAGATATCAAGAGAGACCTTTTGATAGCGCCAATCTCTAGTCCATTTTCTGTTATCTGGATTTCCACAAAAGCTGCTTTGACGAGAGAAAAAAGGAGAAACACAGGTGGAATTTCACCGATGTCAAACTCATATACCTTTCCTTGTATTTCTTGGGCAATTGCTCAACAAGTATACTTACTTACTTACTTACTTACTTACTTACTTACTTACTTAGGCAATCCCTCGTTTGCCGAGTAGGATAGTCTTCCAGGATCAGTGTTCTGGTGGGTCCGTTGGTGACTATGGAGCCCTATTCTTGATCTGCATCTTCTTCCGCAGTGAGGGCATTGGTTTCCAGGTGGAAGGTGGTCTCGGTCAGGGTTGGCTTGGCGTGCCTTCCTCTTGGCACATTTCTCACTTTCACCCCTCCATTCGTGCCTCTTCAAATTCTGCAGCACAGCTGGTCACAGCTGACCTCAAGCTGGAGCGCTCAACTGTGCTGCTAAGGAAAAAGATCTACACCAGCGCAAAAGCTGAGGTCCAAAGAAGAAGAGAACTCAAGGTGGACAAAGAAGGCTGGAGAAATCCAACACCTGGCTGATAACCATGATGCTCAGGGATTTTTCAAAGCCACAAAGGTCATCTATGGACCAAGAAACCATGGCATACAGCCTCTACGCTCATCAGATGGAACCAAACTCCTGAAGGACCAAAAATCCATTGCACTACATTGGAAAGAACACTACCAAAGCCTCCTGAATTGCAGCTCCAATGTGGCCGAAGATGTTCTCTCACAAGTCCCGCGACAACAAACCAGGCATTAGCTTGCAGCACTGCCTAATTTGGAAGAAGTCAGCAATGCCATCAACCAACAAAAAAAATAACAAAGCCAGCGGACCTAAAGGGATCCCTGCTGAAATCTTTAAAGAGGGAGGACCTGAGCTGACACAACAACTCCACCAGCTCATAGAAAAAGTGTGGGTGACCGAGAAAATCAACAAGTATATTCCATTCATGATATGCCTGTGAAATGTAGACTGTCTACAGACCATCACACTGAACTCCTGGAACGATTCCATCAGCGTTGCCTCTGAAAAATCCTGCAAATCTCTTGGGAAGACAGGTGGACAAATATCAGCATGCTGGAAGAAGCAAAGACTACCAGCATTGAAGCCATATTCCTACGCCATCAACTCCGCTGGACTGAATTCCATGTTGTCGAAATGCCCGATCCCCGTCTCCCAAAGCATTTACTCTACTTCCAACTCAAGAACAGGAAATGTAATGTTGTTGGGCAGGAAAAGAGATTTAAAGATGGGCTCAGAGCTCCCTGTCGGCCATCACTACTACAATCACTACAAAAGGCAAAAAACGTGAGATTTCCAGGTGTGGGAATATCGCGGTTTTGAGTTGAATATCCGCATCTTCGAATGTCTGTATGTCCTTGCAATCAAAAATCACAGGATTTTTTAAAATCTAGGTTTGTTCCCAGGTTTTACATGTTTGTTCCTGATTGGTTGGTTCCTAAAAAGGAGGTCACAGTTGAGTAGAATGCAAAAACGTTGTTTGTGTGCCAGAAACTATGAAACATGTGGAGGGGACATTTTCTCTGGCCAGGACAAAGAATGGTTCTGGCCCAACTTACCTGTTTGAACACATCTCCCCTTATGAACCATTGAGGATTTTAAGATCGTCTGGAGAGGCCCTGCTCTCGGTACTGCCATCGTCACAAGCACGGCTGGCAGGGACGAGAGACAGGGCCTTGTCAGTGGTGGCCCCTCAGCTATGGAACACCCTTCACAGGGAGATCAGATCGACTTCTTCGCTTCTAGCATTTCAGAAAAAACTCAAGACATGGCTATTTGAGCAGGCATTTGCAAATACTGAGTAACGGACATAAGAAACGGAACAACTACATGATGGGCCTGGAGTATTTATTGAATTATGTTTTATTGTTGCTGTTATGATTTTATTTATGTTAAGGTTTTTATATTGTACTTGTGTTTTTGTGGCATTGAATTTTGTCTTGTAAACCGCCTCGAGTCGCCGGATGGCTGAGAGGGGCGGTATACAAATACAGTAAATAAATAAATAAAATAAAACTTTTGAAGTGATTTGTTGGAGTGATTCTTCGCATGTCTACATCTTGAGGTTTTTTAAAAAACGGTAAAAGTTTCTAGCAGAAGTCACGCAGCAACTATTTTGCAACGAAGCATCAAGTCTGGACAACGGAGGCAGAAATCCTAGGACCAACCGGTCTGTATGTGGACCTCTTCTAAAGTCCCGGGATTTTTTGCCCATTTGAAACCCGTGATTTAGTGCTGTCTGGAAGCACCCTAAGAATCTGCGATCTGAGATACATTAGACTGAACCTACATTGACAGGACCTGAGCCTGGCTCCAGCAGACCGTTAAGGTATTAGAAGACAAAATGTGTTCTTATGGTCTGAAGGATATTAACATATGTCAGGAAGGTGTTCAAAAAGGTCAGATATCTGGAAATCATGAATCCCTGAGGAACATCTTGGGGAGCTGGATACGTTTGGCTACTGTTACATTACTATGGAGGGGAATGAGCAAAGTAAGAAATATTCACGTTTACGGATGTGCATCGATCCCATTGAGCATTGGAACACTGACTAGGGAGTGCTAATATGTATTGCCACTGTTGTCATTTTGTGTCTTCAAATTGTTTCTAACTTAAAGTGACCTATCGTGGGATTTTCTTGGCAACATTTGTTGCAGTGGTTCTCAACCTGGGGTCCCCAGATGTTTTTGGCCTTCAACTCCCAGAAATCCTAACAGCTGGTAAACTGGCTGGGATTTCTGGGAGTTGTAGGCCAAAAACATGTGGGGACCCCAGGTTGAGAACCACTGTAAGGAGAGGTTGTCTTTGCTTTCCTGATAGAATCCAAGGTCATCCAATAGCTTTCCATGGCTGATTGTGAATTCAAAAACTGATTTTTGAACCGGGACTCTGGCGCAGCTGGCTGGGAGACAGCTGCATTAAGATCACTACTGACCGAAAGGTCATCAGTTTGAAGTCAGCCCAGGTCGGAGTGAGCTTCCGACCAAATTGTGTAGCTTGTTGTCGACCTTTGCAGCTTGAAAGACAGTTGCATCTGTCAAGTAGGAAATTAAGTACCACTTATGTGGGGAGGCTAATTTAACTAATTTACGAGGCCATAAAAATATTCAGCAAGCATACAAAGAATGAGGAAGTACTTCATCACAAATGGACGGTGAAGTAACAGCTCCCCTGGTGGCCAGAATACCCTCAGGGAAAAAAAAAACCTGGATTGTTTAATACCTCTGAGTGTCTGTCTATATATGTTGTGTGTCTATGGCATTGAATGTTTGCCATGTATATGTAAATGGTAATCCACCCTGAGTCCCCTGCGAGGTGAGAAGGGCGGAATATAAATATTGTAAATAAAAAATAAATTATACATTTTCCAGTATCATAGAGTCATTGAATCAAAGAGTTGGAAGAGACCTCATGGGCCATCCAGTCCAACCCCATTCTGCCAAGAAGCAGAAATATTGCATTCAAACCACTCCTAAAAAATGGCCATCCAGTCTCTGTTTAAAAGCTTCCAAAGAAGGAGCCTCCACCACACTCCAGGGCAGAGAGTTCCACTGCTGAACGGCTCTCACAGTCAGGAAGTTCTTCCTCATGTTCAGATGGAATCTCCTTTCTTGTAGTTTGAAGCCGTTGTTTCACGTCCTAGTCTGCAGGGAAGCAGAAAACAAGCTTGCTCCCTCCTCCTCCCTGTGGCTTCCTCTCACATATTTATACATGGCTATCATGTTTCCTCTCAGCCTTCTCTTCTTCAGGCTAAACATGCCCAGCTCCCTAAGCCGCTCCTCATAGGGCTTGTACTAGTGCCTCTATCATAGTCCACTATACCACACCAGCTTTCTGGTGTCTCATTATGCAACTTTACAACTCGCTAACCTTGTTTTCTAGCGTATCCACTATGTATAAGGTTACTGTGATTGAGAATTCCAGACTTCTCGAAATGTATGGTTTCCATCGTGCACACAATTACTTTAACAATTTTTATTTCTCATCTTTCAGTTTTATTATAAAATTTGTTCAGTATGTTGGTACAAAAGTCCAAAGAGGGGCCGAGCTAGGGGAAAGAAGTTATCAGACACCATGAAGTAAATTAAATTTTTATTCTGTAATACATATTTATATATTTTGTATTTATATATATATATTTATATATTTGTATTTATGAGCTCACCACTGAGCCCAGACTTTCGGTAATACAAGGTAGAAAGCAAGAGCCAGACGCATCCGAACTCCAAAATGCATATCGTCAGGAATCTCAAGCAGACCACAAAATCCACTCGTTACGTTAGTGCAGTTGGAAACTCGTGCGCCAGTGGTAAACTACCTCATCTAGAGTCAGACTTGTCCCACGGATCAGTGTTTGAAGACAACTGAATGGATGGTTTGGCTGATTTTAAAAAATAGTCAACCCAACAAGGTGTCAATTTGAGTGTGGCTGACACCAGATACAAGAGGTTTGGTTTGCATCTCCATAAATCGTCCCAACATGGAAGGCATAAAATAGTAGTAAGAGTAATCATAATCACAATGTGCCTCGGGGCTATTTCATTGTGTTCCCATGAGGCACACCACTCGTATTCTTGAACTGTCTCCCAAAAGGGAGGAAAAGATACCATAAGTTGAAAAGCAGCATCTTTCATAGCATGTCTGGACAGTCAAGACAAATCATATTTTTTTCCTAAACTGGAGATGAGTCGGTTACCCAATGGTAAGACTGCATTGCCGTGGCATAAATTTTCTATCTGGCTGCAATGGGAAGAGTTCACTGGGCATACCTCGCTACACAACCCCCTAAAATGCCATGGGGGATTTAGGCAAGAATTCTTTCCTGGATGAATTCTTTCCGTTCATTTCCTTGGTGTGACTGCTGGACACAAGAGCGGTGTAGGAATGGAGAAACTAAAACTGCATGGAGATACAGGATTTTGCCAGGGCTTTCAGAGCAACGGGTCTCCTTGCGAAGTTTACCACTTGTTTCCTAAACGAAGAAAACTGCTTGCGCATGCTCCTGAGCCAGGAAGAGTTGCAAGATCTGGCCAAATGCAGCGAATGGCTGAGAAGGGTAAGATAACGTGCATGCTTGCCTCAGGGTAAACGTTGGACTTCGATAACTTCCCCTCACCCCTCTGGAAGTTTGAAAGGAATCAAAACAATAAAACCAAAGCAGACAATACACAAAATGGCCCGATGCAACTACCAGAGAATTTGGAAAATAAAACCAGGATAGGAAGCACTAATTGTTTACCTGCAGAGTGGATATATCATGATTGTGTTTAATCAAATCCAACTTCCCAAAACCATAGCAAGCGTTCTTCCCCAACCCTTCCTCAAGTGCAAGTTTGAATCTTCCTTCCAGGTACATAGTTTCACCTTTGCGACGTGCCACCCTTACTCCCACCACGGTGTCCACAGCTCATTTGTCAGAACCCTTCCGGGGCCTGCGGAAAGTGGGGGCATCCTTGTTCAGTGCACAGATCCTCCGGGAGAACTCCTCAAATTCCCCTAGGACTTGGTCGTCACACTCCACCGCCACGGCGTGGTCCACCGGGATGTAGTTAAAGGCTTCCAGCTGGTCTCCAGTGCCAAACCCAGTGGCTTCCATGCCCATGATCTCTTCCGCTTGCTCAACCGTGCAAAGGAGGTCAGCCCCGAGGGGGCCGCGGAAGGTGCACGATTGCTCAAGGGTTGCGCCGTGAGGACGCTCGCTGGGCAAGGCAGCACCATTTATTGCACGAGAGGAGGCCAGGAGGGATTCCTGCTGATCTCGGGAAAGCTTCGGGCTCCCATTTCCCCCGTTTAAACTGTTACACAGATCCCCCTTTTTGCTTTCCTTCGAGAAGTCAAGGGAGGTATCTAATGAGGAGGGTAAAGATCCGACCTTCTTCTCAGCGTCTCCTACGATGGCAATGGGCTGGGTCAAAGCGGAGTTGTAACTCGGAGGGGGAGTCTTGTACTGCAGTCTCTCGTTCTCCGAGTTGGCTCGTTTCCGGAGGCTTTTGTCTGGGGAAGGATGGCTGCTGGAGAAGCCCACATCCAGGCCCCCGAAGGTAGAACTTTGTCTCTTTGGAACTGGAATGGCGCTGGAAATGTGGTGTCGATCACTAGGCAAAGAAATAAAAAGATTGAAAGTTGTTAAAACAAATTTCAACAGAAAGCTTCATAATCTGTACTCTCAGAAAAGTTGCGAAACTTGAGAACTTCAGATAAACATAACTTCAGCTTCAGTAAATTTGTGATCATTGTTTTCTTAACAGATTGCTGCAGTTGTTAATAATATGACTTGCTATTGGTCCTGCTACAATCAGAGCTCACTGTAGATTTCAAGATTCAGTTAAAGTGAGATATTTCAGAAGTAAATATAAAGCATTGCAGGGATAGTATGAACACCCTTCCACTGGAAGCAAGGCTGGTCCCCTCCCTGCTTTCCTTTCATTGGCAGAAAGGCTTTTATATTATTACTAGCTGTCCCCTGCCAGGTGTTGCTGTGGCCCAGTCTGGTGATCTGGAAAATAAAGTAATGAGAAAGTGTTGGTTTCTAATATATGTAATTTCTTTCTGCTTGTGAGTAAACAGTATTTCTTGTTTCTCTGTCTGTGTTGATGTAGGGAGTGTCTGGTTTGCCTACTCTGGAACAGGCAACATATCATTGTCCTTCTTTAGGGGTTCCTTTCAAATCTATGATACTATATTTGTGTGTGTGTGTGAATCATATCTATCTATATCAATGGCTGGATGGCTGATTGTCAGGAGGGCTTTGATTACATTTTCTTGCCCTGGTGAAGGGAGTTGGATTGGATGGCCTTAAGTATTTTCTGTTGGTCCTGGGGGCTCTGTGTGGGAAGTTTGCCCCAATTCTGTCGTTTGTGGGATTCAGAATGCTCTTTGATTGTAGGTGAACTATAAATCCCAGCAACTACAACTCCCAAATATCATATTATTATTATTATAACTTTATTTGTACCCTGCTAGCATCTCCTGAAGGATTCGATGCGGCTTACAATAGGCCGAAGCCCACCACAATACAACAATACAACATCTAGCAAATAAAACAGTTAAGCAGAAAAACAATAACAATGGCAATACGACAAGACATTATTAAAAACTGAGTCGGCCGAAGTAGGGGTACAAGGTTAAAAGTGCTGATGTGTCGGAGGGGTGTGGGATTATGATATAAGTGCGATGTGCAGTGTGCGGTGATTTTGGTACTAAAGTGCTTCTGGGATTTGGTACTGGGAGAATTCCTAATCTGAAAAGGCACATTGGAACAGCCAGGTTTTCAAATTCTTCCTGAAGACTGCCAGTGTAGGGGCTTGTCTGAGATCTTTCGGGAGGGCGTTCCAGAGGCGGGGGGCCACCATGGAGAAGTCCCTGTCTCGCGTCCCCACCAAGCGTGCTTGAGACGCGGGCGGATCACAAGCAGGGCCTCTCCAGATGACCGGAGTGAGCGTGTGGGTTTGTAGACAGCAGTCATGTCTATTTTCCCCAAACCCCATCTGTGTTCATATTTGGACATATGGAATATTTGTGCCAAGTTTGGTCCAGATTCATCATTGTTTGAGTCCACAGTGCTCTCTGGATGTAGGTGAATTACAACTCCCAAACTCAAGGTCAATGCCCACCAAACTCTTCTAGTGTTTTCTGTTGGTCATGGGAGTCCTGTGTGTCACCTTTGGTTTAATTCCATCATTGGTGGAGTTCAGAATGCCCTTTGATTGTAGGTGAACTATAAATCCCAGCAACTACAACTCCCAAATGACAAAATCAACTTTTTTGAGTGGAGGACATAAATTGGGTTGTTAGGTGTATCGTATCCAAAGTTGGTGTCAATTCCCCCAGTGGTTTTTGAGTTCTGTGAATATCACAAACGAACATTACATTTTTATTTATATAAATTATTTATTTACAGTATTTATATTCCTGCCTTCATGCTTTTAACATGAAGGCAGGAAAAGTTCTTAGGGAGTTGTTTTATTCTTTCTAAACATGTATGTTTTTTAAACATGCTTTTATACAGTTTTTATCTGCACTTATATGTTTTTAAAATTTGACTGTGAAAATGTTTAATTGTTTTGGAAGCTGCCTTGTGAGCAGCTTGTTTTGGAAGCTGTCTTGCGGCAGTTAAAAAAGCCAATGAGATTTTAGCCTGTATAAATAGGAGTCTAGTGCCTAGAACCATGGGAAGTCAAGCCATCCCTCTATTCTGCCTTGGTCAGAACACACCTGGAATCACACTATGTCGAATTCTGGGTATCACATTTGAAGGGAGACGTTGACTCTAAGCTGGAATGTGTCCAGAGAAGGACGACTAAAATGATCAAAGGTCTGGAGAACAAGCCCTACGAGGACCTTAAAAACTAATGGGATTTTGGCCTGCATCAATAGGAGTCTAGTGTCTAGATCCAGGGAAGTTATGCTCCCTCTCTATTCTATTCTGCCTTGGTCAGACCACACCTGGAATCACACTATGTCCAATTCTGGGTATCACATTTGAAGGGAGATGTTGACTCCAAGCTGGAATGTGTCCAGAGAAGGGCAACTAAAATGATCAAAGGTCTGGAGAACAAGCCCTATGAGGAGTTGCTTAAAGAGCTGGGAATGTTAAGCCTGGAGATGGCTGAGAGGACACATGATGAGGGCCATGTATCAAGAGGTGAGGGGAAGACATAGGGAGGCAGGAGCAGGCTTGTTTTCTGCTGCCCTGGAGACTAGGACACAATGGAACAATGGCTTCAAACTACAGGAAAGGAGAGTCCACCTGAACATGAGGAAGAACTTCAGGAGAGAATGCTTCTAGAAAATCGCTTTACACCCGAAATACCTACAACAACCCAACTTCCTGACTATGAGAGAGAGCTGTTCAGCACTGGAACTCTCTCTCTGTGGTGGAAGCTCCTTCTTAAGCAGATGCTGGGTGGCCATCTGTCAAGGGGGCTTTGAATGAATGAATGAATGAATGAATGAATGAATGAATGAATGAATTGTTTATTGTACTAGCCATAGGCCATGACAGGGCTTTGAATGAGATTTTCCTGCTTCTTGGCAGAATGGGGTTGGACTGGATGGCCCACGAGATCTCTTCCAACTATTTTATTTTTTTGTCGTGTCAAGAGCGACTTGAGAAGCAGCAAGTCGCTTCTGGTGTGAGAGAATTGGCCGTCTGCAAGGACATTGCCCAGGGGATGCCCGGATGAATTGATGTTTTTATCATCCTTGTGGGAGGCTTCTCTCATGCCCCCGCATGAGGAGCTGGAGCTGATAGAGGGAGCTCATCCGCCTCTCCCCGGATTCGAACCTGCGACCTGTCGGTCTTCAGTCCTGCTGGCACAGGGGTTTAACCCACAGCGCCACCGGGGGCTCTTCCAACTATGATTCTATGATTCTATAAAGCCATCAAATTAATGGAATACATAAATATAAGTTATGCTTTCCACTAAACTATGAAAAAGTACACATAAAGAAATAGTGATTACTATGGCAGTCTGCTTTGCAATTTGGTGAGGTCTGAATTTTTCCGAATGAAGTAGAGAGTATTTGAGGACCGGGACATCCGTAGGGATACCAAGGTGCTTGTTTATAGAGCTATTGTCCTCCCAACCCTGCTATATGCCTGTGAGACGTGGACTGTCTACAGACGCCACATGCAACTCCTGGAACAATTCCATAAGCGCTGCCTCCAGAAAATCCTGCAAATCTCTTGGGAAGACAAGCGGACAAACATCAGCGTGCTGGAAGAAGCGAAGACCAACAGCATTGAAGTGATGCTCCTCCGCCATCAACTCCGCTGGACCGGCCACGTAGGCCGGATGCCCGACTACCGTCTCCCAAAGCAGTTACTCTCCTCTGAACTCAAGAACGGAAAACGGAATATTGGTGGACAGGAAAAGAGATTTAAAGATGGGCTCAAATCCAACCTTAAAATCTCTGGCATAGACACTGAGAACTGGGAAGCCCTGGCCCTTGACCGCTCCAGCTGGAGGTCAGCTGTGACCAGCAGTGCTGCAGAATTTGAAAAGGCACGAATGGAGGGCGAAAGGGAGAAGCGTGCCAAGAGGAAGGCGCGTCAAGCCAACCCTGACCAATACCGCCTCCCACCTGGAAACCAATGCCCTCACTGCGGAAGAAGATGCAGAACAAGAATAGGGCTCCACAGCCACATACGGACCCACAAGAATATTGGAAGACAATCCTCCTCGGAAAACGAGGGATCGCCTAAGTAAGTAAGTAAGTAAGTAAGTAAGTAAGAGGTCTGAATACAGGTTTACTTCAAACAAGTGGTTTGTTTGCTTACCCTCTGTATCAGGCTCTTTAAAAAGATTATATTTTAATTCATTTTTTTTTTAAAAAACACATTCCATATTGGGCTTGTGGACTGTGTGCCATGTGAGCTGACTATGTCCAAAGAGTGTGCATCCCTCACACATTAAGTCAGAAATACAAGCTGTCCCGAGTGCCAAGTTCACTTCTGTGCCGCTGTCCCCCAACACCCCAGAATTTATGGCCTTGGAGGAAGAAATGCTCCTGACTACATGTCCGTTTGCTAGAAAAGAAAGAGGAAATCTATCAGAAAACTCAACTTTATTCATTTGGGTCTGACGAGGTGAGCTGTAAACCATTAACGTTTTCTCCCTCATAAATCTGTTACTCTATAAGGTCCTAATTCCCACTCTCTACAGGTAGTAATGTACTCAGCAAAACCGAGGTGACTGAATTAACACCTATTGCTGCTGCTGTGCAGGGTCATTTTGCACACATTTGAGCTCTAACTGAATTTCCAGAAATTGCGCTTTTTGTAAAACACCATCCCTCCACTCCAACCTTAATACCCCCAGAACCAATTACGCCCTTATTTATGTGTATCTGAAAATCCCATTCTATATTTTTGATGAAATGGCTTTTGACCGACACAAGCTTTGCCATAAACCAAAACCTAACCCCCAGAAAAACAAACATGCTACCTACAAACAGGAGGCAAATCATACTTTTTCCCAACCCTCTGGGATTTAAAGCTTGGTACCATGCTTGTCATATTTTAAAATTCTGCACCACAGCCCAGGTCTTCATCCAAGTTCTAGGTATCTACTCATTAGTCGAAAGTACACCA